TCAAAGATTTGATTGTAACCCTGCTTTGGTATATATTTCTATTGCAACTTTAATAATATTTTTTTAATTAAAAATGGTACAGGTTATCCTTATGTTTACAGCTGAGGCCAACATTCCTGTTGCTAAGCAACAGCTTAAATGAATTTTGCCTAATTTCATGACATTTCTTGCCACCGTTGTTAAGCGAATCACTACAATTGTTAAGTGAACCTGAATTCCCCGTTGACTTTGCTTTTCAAAAAGTCACCAAAGGTGATCACAGGACCTCAGGACACTGCAACCCTTATAAATACATGCCAGTTGCCAACCAGAGATGGCATTCAGGAGGTTCTGACCAGTTCTGGTGAACTGGAAGCTGAAATTTTGAGTAGTTTGGAGAACTGGCAAATACCACCTATGACTGGCCCCGCCCCCATCTATTCTCTGCCCCCCCATTGAATCCCAGCTGATTGGCTGGGTCTTCTTTGGTTGCCCTGCACAGGAGAACAGAGCTGGAAAGCAGGTTAGTGGGATGGGGAGGGAATGGGGATTTTGCAGTAACCTTCTCCCAGGAGTGGGGTGGAAATGGAGATTTTGCAGTATCCTTTCCTGCCAAGCCCAGCAAGCCACGTCCACCAAGCCATGCCCACAGAACCGGTAGTAAAAATGTTTGAATCCCACTACTGTTGGCAACCATCCGAATTCTGAATCATGTGACAGTGGGGATGTTACAGTGAAGAATGATCACATAAGTCACTTTTTTCAGTGCCATTGTAACTTCAAATGGTCCCTAAACAAATGATTGTAAGTTGAGGACTACCAGTACATAAATACTTCTAGCAAATAAGGAAAGGATCGGTATTTATATGTTGATTGCAGAAGTTTAGAAGAAAGAGCCCCGGTGGACAGAAGAATTGGAAGAAGTTCGCTTATATAAGTTTGGGCCTCCTGAGATTTTCTGCTCCAAACATCTCCTCCATATGCTGTCTTTAGATATTGTAGTGGCAAGAAAAGTCCTGTAGATGGCAGTAGCAGCAGCAAACTGCACTACAGTTCCTAAACGGGCCTCTTCCCCTTATGTCACTCTCAGGCTGGTAAGTCCCCAACTAATTATATAACATTGTCCTTATCAACCAGATGATACAGAGTTGTTACGAGCAGGCATATGATTCCACCTTCTAAGATCATTATTATTCCCAAGGATTAATTAAAAGTTTCACCAATGCTGCATCTATTCTCCAAACGTAACCAATCCAAATGCTGTATCTATGTTGCCTTTGCCTTCTTGTGTAAAAACCTATAAAAGGAATAAACACTACGTAGGTAATCAGACATCTTGGCACTCTGCACAATGACTGGTCTTTGATCACCACAAGATATGTTTAGGCTGGGGCAAAGGTTGCCCAGCCATAATCTTCTGCTTCCTATTTGTAACTGTGTGAGCTTGTATTCCCAGGTCCTTTCTCTCTGGTTACTCACCGCTCCCCGTTGGGTGCCTAACTATTTCTCTGAATGGTTTGAAATGTTTAGATAATTCTGTCACAAGAGTTATTTGATTGTTTTACTTCTGGTGTTAAATTGGCCTGGTGACCAGTGGTGGGATTCAAAAAGTTTTACCACCGGTGGCTTAGCGGGCACTGTTCTGCTTATTATTCTCTGGATGGTATAAAGCAGACAGATTAACTCCACAAAACATCCATAACAAACTCTTTTTTATTGGTTCATCAGGTATCCTCATAACTCACATTTGTGACGAAGTTCTTCTGAATGTCCAATCCCTTGCATATCTATCTTGTAGTGTAGGAAGATAATAAGGTCTCAACCCCCTTGATGATTGAAGAAGCCGCATGGTAATGGCTTCAGGCAAGAGTGAGGGAGACTGACCCACCAAGGGTCACTATAGTGACCAATCAGGATTACATATGTGGTCACGTGACATGGACTACATTTCCCAGGATACCTTTAACTACATTTACTACATTCTCTACATTTACTACATACATTTAACTGCATTCCCTTAAGGGGACAGCTCACAATTCCTAAGTAACTATCCCAAATCCCATTAACTCTAAACTGTCTGGACAGCACAGGCGTGCTTTGCGCCTGTGCACACACTTTTTGTGCGCGTGAGCACCAAACACGCGCTTTGCACAGGCGCAGAGGCATTCCAACTCACTTCCTGCAAGCATGCACTCTCGTGGTTGCTTCAGCAGCTGCCGCATGGCACTCTTCTGTGCCGTGCAAAGCAGCTGCGCTTCAAAAGCAGAGGATAAAGGTGAGTATGGGAGCCCAGGTGGGTAGGTGGGCCCAACAGCAGAGCGGTGGAGAGAACTGGTTCGGTCTCCGCTGCTCATCGCTGCTACCGGCTCGGCAGTACCAGGCCAAACTGGTAGAATGCCACCATTGCTGGCAACCATCTTAGAATGGAGAATGTGAAATCTAGTCCTGTGTTAGGCCTGAAAGCCAGCTGGATGACCTTTTAAAATTTAATTTAATCCTCCCTTTATTATTTTTATAAATAACTCAAGGTGGCAAACATATCAACACACCTTCTACCTCCTATGAATTTATGGTTTCTCCATTTTCTAGCCTGGTGCTTTAACCACTGGACTAAACTGGATCTCTAAATAATTTTGGGCCTATCACCAGGAGAGTGTTAGGCATACGGTTGTGTGGGGTTTTTAAATTATTTTTTCCTCTATCTTTATTATTATTATTTATAGGGATGGCAAACATAGCCAACACGCCTTCTTTCTCCTATGTTCCCCACAACAACCCTGTGAAGTGAGTTGGACTGAGAAAGAGCCACTGGCCCAAAGTCACCCAGCCGACTTTCATGGCTAAGGCAGGACTCAAACTCACAGACTCTAGCTGGATGCCTATCCATACTTCAAGGTAGTTCCCTGAGAATGAGCTCCAGTCCAAAAAGCTCGGAAGACTACTGGTTCCAGTAACCGACCCAGATTAGATCCTGCAACATTATCCTGCGGGATGTATATTTGCCTTCATTCATGGATGTGTTTGCCGCTTTGAGTTATTAATAAAAAATAATAATGGTGGGGTGAAAAAAAGGTAATAAATAAATAAAAATGTGTATCATTATTTATCTGGAGATATTTCTATATTGACCAGTTCCTAGAAAATGACAGAAATGTCTGAACATTTTTATTTTAAAGCATGCATTTCTGGAAATGTATGTTTACTGAAGTATATTATCTTAAAATGCTTCTTTTTAAACTCCATTTTTGAGTATAAAATTCAGACACAGAGAAATCTTGAAGAAGCTGCATGTCAGAAGCCACTTTTCAGTAGCATGCGTAACTTCTACACTCTCATTCACTGTTTTGCTTATGATTTGGGCAGATTTGCTTCCAGTCCCCTGTGTTTTCATCTTAAGGTAGAAGAATCCCATAGCTGACGCCCAGTCCCAGTTCTATTCTCTGAGACCAGAATAAACTGAAGAAATTACTGGACAATATGAGATGGCATAATCAGAGGAAGTAAGTAGATAACTCACACGAATGGGAGAAGATATTGAAAAGTTATCTGAGAGGTAATAATAATTGAAGTTTGTGCCTAATCAACCTACCTTGAGAGAACCTACCTTGAACTAAGGTGAAATTTCTGACAGTTAGAATAAATAATCAGTGGAAAAATTGTCTCCAGAAGTTATGGATGTTCCATCAAGGGAGGTTTTAAAGAAGACATTGGACAATCTGACAATTCCTGCTTGAGCAAGGGGTTGGAATAGAAGACCTCCAGGGTCTCTTCCAACTCAGTTATTCTGTTATTTTATTACATCTTCATTTCTTAGATACTCTTTTTTGTTCTGATGGACCCATATTAGGATGGATAAAGGGTCTGGAGACTAAATTGCATGATGAGCAGTTGAAGAAAGTAGGTATGTTTAGCCCAATGAAAAGAAGGATTGGGGTGACATCGGGTGGGATTCTACCAGTTTGCACTTATTCGCTAGAACCAGTTGTTAACATTCTAAGCAGTTTGGAGAACCGTTAGAAGAAATTACTGGCCTAATCCTGCAAGGAAGGCAGGAAGGAAACATTCTGGTGTTGCTTATTGAAACTGCCTCTCCATTAACCCTTATTACATTCTTGGCAGGACTAGACTTCCTGTCTCAGGAATTTCTCTGGAGTTTTTTCCCCCCTCCTTTGCTAGTACTTTACTTGTGTGGAGTGACCATTCAAAGTTACAATAGCACTGAAAAAAGGGAATTATGACCATTTTTCACACTTACGACTGTTGCAGCATCCCCCAGTCATGAGAGGCCAGGCGAGGAGATGTGTGCCTCGATGTGAGTGATATTGAGTTGGCCACGCCCAGCCAATAACATGTCCACCAAGCCATGCCCACCCAGTCACATGACCAACAAGCCATGCCCACCACCTAAGCCACGCCCACAGAACTGGTTGTTAAAAAATTTGAATCCCACCCCTAGGTGACATGATAGCACTCTTCCAATATCAGAGGACCTGCCATAGAGAAGAGGGAGTCGACTTATTCTCCAAAGGACCAGAGGGTAGAACAAACAGCAATGGGGGAAAGCTCATTAAATAGATATCCAACCTAGGATCGCTTGCTTTCCACAGTTGTGGGTACTCCATCCCTGGAAGTTTTCAAACATAGACTGGACTGGGATAGTATAAAGACTCCTGCCTCGAACAGAGGGTTAGACTAGATAATCTCCATGGTTCCTTCCAGCCCTATGATTCTATGTTCTGATTCTATAGCACAATTTGTCAATGCAACAAGAACTCCATCCTCAACATTTTTTAAAAGTCCCCATCCAAAAAAATTTTTTAAAAGCCCCCGGAAAAAAGAAAAAAAATCTCAATTTCAAGCTTAGAGATGATTTTAAGTCCCAGAGGAAAATGAAGCAATTTAGTGGCTGCTGGCCTAACGCAGCAAAGGTTAGAAGATTAAAAGACCAACTGCTGCTTGGGTAAGTGGTTGATAATTGCACACCCTAGCAATTACTCTGCTTGGTCTCCTGTCTGTCTTACCTTTTTTTTCCCTCGTGTGCCATCAGGGTTGATTCGAAATGTCCCCGAATTTACAGTCCTTCTTGGTCCAATTTTCTTGATCTCATACTCCAACTCATCAGCAAGAGCCTTACATGCTGTAGAGTACAAAGGAAAAGAAGTACGGAGAGACATCCTCTTTCCAAAAAAATCCCGATAGAAAATACAACAGTCAGGGGAGGAAACTGACATGAATACTGAGAGAGCTGTTTGCAGCCAAAGTATATTCCAAAACATGAACTTACATAGCCATTCAAACATGTTGTCACCATAAAATATTAATATATAGCTGGGCCAGAACCTCACTGTAGCTTTTTTCTTCCTTCTGAGAATAATTCTTGGAAAGAAGATTTGGACATCACAGTGTCATGTGCAATGTTGATGGCACTGATGACAATAGCTATTTTATTCAGGTGGTGGTGGTGGTGGTAATTCTTGTACATTGATAGAAGCTACATTTTAAAGACTGTGTGATGACCCGGGGTGTGGCACAAAGACAACACAGCCAAATAAGCAAGAAGTGTCCCTTTAGTGCCTCCAACTTTGCCCCCAATGTCCAGCTGGAGAAAAAACTCTCCCAAGAACAGTCTTTAAAAAGAGGAAATTCACTCCGAAAACAAAGTGCATACAAACTGTAAATAGAAATCCACACAAACCACGCTGCAGTAATTAACTTGACAGGGCATGAGAAGGAATTGCAGACTCGAAAGCCCAGTAAAACACACACAGTTAGGAAGACGCCAGGAACCCAGATAAGCCTAGACGATACCAGATAATTCATGGTTTGCTCCCAACAACTACGTTGTGCGCAGCTTCCCTTTTTAAACACTGTGTTCCCAGCTGCAGCTAATGAAGGGAATCAGGGCTCTTTCCTCCCCCATAAGCCACGCAACTCATGTTGCTCCCTTCTCTGTTCCTCCCTGCTTGACCTAGGATGAAGAAGGGGTGGGTCTGGATCTTCCTCCAAATTCCCTCTCCCTTGCTCTACCTCTCCCCTGCTCTGCCCAGCTGGCCTTTGCCCTTCCCCAGTTTCTTCCATAGCCAATGGAGCCACACTCCCACTCCCTGTCAGTTGCTCGGCCTCCCCCTCCAAAACAGATTCCGACAGGGGCATGATAGACTGGTTGTACCTGAGATGGCACCATCTGGAGCCTCACCTGTGCTAAGCCAGGATATGTGGCTGCAGCTAAATGTTATCCCCTTGTTGTTTATTATCTCGGAAACAAAGTAAATATGTGTCCCAAAGAAATAATATTATGCTCATTCATAATTTGCTAAATTCTGAAATGTCTGAGGCAAACCAAATAAGAGGTTCAAAAGGGCAGTGTTGAGAAAGGCAAAGGAAAAATAGTTTTGTTTTTTTTAAAAAAGAAAGGAAGCAGTGCCAGAGCTGATAGGTCGTACAAAGATTGCAAGTGATGGTATTGGCGGTATTTATTTCAGTGTTTCCCAACCAGGCAACTTTGAGATGTGTGAACTTCAGCTCCCAGGATCCCTATAAATGACCATGATGGTGATGGAATGCTAGGATTTGAAGTCCAAAGTCTCAAAGCTGCCCTGGTTTATATACAAGTGGTCCTTATGAATGTTTATTCAGTAATTGTTCAAAATTATAACAGCACCGAATGAAGAGACTTCTGAACCGGGCTGAACCAGTAGCATACCACCCCTGGTTCTCATATGACCTGTGATGACCCGGGGCATGACACAAAAATAACTAAGTCAAAAAAATAGAAGAAAGTCCCTTTAATGCCTCCAATTTGGCACCAATGTCCAATTATCCTTGACAGGGTATCAAATTCTTAAAGAAAACAGTTTACGGAGGGAGTAAATGCAGTCCACACCCAAAGTAAAGTTAATTCAAAATAAACAAAACCCAACATAAACCACATTGAAGGAATTACTACGGCAGGCAAGGATGATTAATTGCAGACTTCTACCAGATAACGCAGCAACCACAGTTGTGAGGAAGCCAAAACACAGATAAGCTCCAACAAGAATGCACGCTTTGCTCCCAGCAACTTTGCCATGCACAATTTGTCCTTTTAACCAGTCCTCTCAGCGGCAGCCCATAAGGGGATCAGGGCCCCTTCCTCTCCCATAGACCACGCCACTCACTTTTCTCCCTTATCTGCTCCTCCCTGCATGCCCTAGGAGGAAGAGGGGATGGGCCTGGGTCTTTCTCTGAATGCCCATCCAGCCTGTGCCCTTCCCCAGTTTCCTCCACAACCACCAGAGCCACACTCCCACTCCCTGTCAGCTGTTCACCTCTCCCTCGGAGTCAAACTCCAACAGGGGCATGACATGACTGCACCTGATTTTTATGACCCTTTTTATGGCAGTTGTTAAGTGAACGTGGTGATTATTAGCAAACCCATTGCTTACTATGGGACATGTTTTACAAAAAAAAATTGAAAGTATGTGCCATAATATCATACAAGTACGGGATGCTGTAAATGTGGGTCAGTTTTGTATGTGGGTTGTAAGTAGCCTTTTCTGGCTCCTGGTTCAATTGTAATTTTGAATGGTTGCTAAGCAACCAGTCAAAAGTTGAGGAATCCCTATAATTTATGGAATTTATGTAACAGTGAAACCCATGTTTCACTGTTACAAACAAAAGGTACTTGGGAATTATGGTGGCAATGCTAGATAAAATGTGTGCATATCTCTCTCTCTCTCTCTCTCTCTCTCCCTCTGTGTGTGTGTACACATGTGTTCATTATAGAGATTGGCAAAACATAGGATGGACTACATGGCTGGGAATCAAACTGAAATGTTTCCTTTTGCTCTTTTGAATTCAAAACTCATTTACAGGCAGTCCATGACTTAAAACAGTTCATTTAGTGACTGTTCAAATTACAGAGGCACTGAAAAAAGGCACTGACCATTTTTCACCCTTATGACCATTGTAATATCCTCATGATCATGTGATCAAAACTTAGGCACTTGGCAACTGATTCACATTTATAGCAGTTGCAAGTGATCACCTTTTGCAACCTTCTGACCAGCAAAGTCAATGGGGAATCCAGATTTAGTAATGACCAAGTTACTAAGTTAACAATTGCAGGGATTCACTTAACAAGCATAGCAAGAAAAGTCATAAAATGGGGCAAAACTAACTTAACAAGTGTTTCTCTTAGCAACATAAATTTTCAACTGTAGTTGTAAGTCAAGGACTACCTGTATTCCCTTGGTTGCTTCATTTACTCTTTGGGCTTTATGTATGCTCAACTTCCAAAGACCTCAGAAATTGACATTCTTAGCCAATTAGGATTCATTGCGACTGTTTGAAAATAGTTTCAACCTGGTTCGTTAGCCAGTTTGGAGGATTAAACTGAATTATTTTTTTGAACCTGCTCTGATGTTTCGGAAATAGAGGGACATTGTTTGAAACGCTGTAGTTTTGCAGAACACATGGATGGCCTGTTTTTTACTGGGTGAAACTCTCACGTCTCCCATCCTTCAAGTGTTGGCTGTAACCTATAAATGCCTACATGGCATAAGGCCTGGTTACTTGAGGGACTGCCTGTCTCTCATAACATCTGTCCAGCAGATGTTTGATCCTGTACAGCTGATACACTCTGGGTTCCTTTGATTAAACAATGCTATCTATTGGGACCCCAAAAGCACACCTCCTTTGAAGCAGCACCTGCCCTCTGGAATGAGGTCCCCCTGAGATATAAAAACCCCTGAAGACATTCCCCCCGGCCTTTGGCAAAGAAGACCCTTCCCTTCTTTGCTCTTGCCATCTTCTTTCCTCATCTATTCTTTATTATTTTCATTTATTAAGTTATATCATGTCTATTATTTTTTTATAAACACTTCAAGGAGGTGAACATGTCTAATACACCTTCTTCCTCCTATTTTCTCCACAGCAACAACCTTGAGAGATGGGATGAACTGAGACAGAGTGAGTGGCCCAAAGTCACCTAGTTGGCTTTCATGCCTAAGGCAGGACTAGGACTCACACTATCCTGGTGATTGATCTAAAGCCATGATGGCGAACCTATAGCATGCATGCCACAGGTGGCATGCAGAGCCATTCGTGTGGGCATGTGAGCACCTGGCAAGCTTACTTCATTGCACATGCATGTGCCTCACCTCTGATTTTTGGCCCGTTTGAGGCCTTTTTCAGCCTGCCAGAGGCTTGAGGGAAGCCTCTGCAGCCTTTGCAGGCTGAAAAATAGGCCCGTTTTGTCACTTCCTGTATTTCTGGAAATACTGGAAGTGATGAAACAGACCCATTTTTTGGCCTACAAAGGCCTGCAAGATATATATTTTAAAACAGTTGAATCACTGCTTGGCAGACAGAAAGTTTACCTTCACAATTAACATTTTTGCAATTTATTTGGCTTTTGAGGTTAAAGAGACTATTATTATTTTGTTCTAATACCAGTGTCAAGGCAGTTTTGGTACTCTTTTATTGATCATTTGGACAAGACACTGATTAGTTGATTGTGTTTTTAGCATTTTGAGGTAGTCAATCTAATTCACCGACAAAATAAAACAGAAGTATGAATACTAATCCTACTTTTACTATAGAATTACAATAAAAGAATCTTGCAAGTGAGAATATACCTCCCTACTCTCTGCCTTTATCTCATTTGATTTATTCATTAAACTTCAAAGGAACCCAGGGCTGTCTTGTCTGAGATTTGTACTCAGGTTACAGTTTCTCTTATCTAACCCATTGTTTTGGTTGTAGCTCTTCCTCCTTTTTTCTCAAGGTTATTCGTATAGCTCATTAGAGGTAGGTAAAAATGAAAGCAATTAGCTTTCAGATTCTTTGCAAGGGTTGAGGATGCGCTATATGTCCGGTGTCTCCAACTCTGAGGCCACAAGGGTGGCAACCAAGCAAAACTGAAACCATCCCTCCTCACACCTACTGCGTGGAAAAATTGTCTTCCACGAAACTGGGCCTTGGTGTCAAAAAAGTTGAGAACCGCTGTCCTAAATGTGAAGATATCAAGTAGAGAAATATTTTGAGCTGTTTCTCATAACCTTCCTCTGCCACGCCCACCAAGCCACACCATGCCCACCAAGCATGCCCACAGAACCAGCAGTAAAAAAAATTAGAATCCCACCACTGGTTCCAAGT